TTATTCCTTAAGCTGATTAATGTGCCTCTAATAATTACAATTATAGAAGAGAAAATATTTCTTTCTAGACTTATCACAGGAATATATATTCAAAGTATGAAATGAGGTTCATTTTTAAACAAAATCTAATTGTGTGGATAAAAATTGTATGAATTATTAAGACTTATAGTATAGAAAGAACCTAAGGAGTTTTTAAAGAAAATCTATAGATCATTTAATTTTGATTTTTTAATTCAATTCTGATGTTTTTCCTTATTGGTATTCAAATGAAATCAAAGTACTTTAATTTAATTGATGGTAGCTTTACTCCAGCACTTTACAATAACATTGTAGATTGATCAAAACGTATTGATTTTAAATGTTATAATGATGCATAATAATAGAAAATAAATGTATATTTATTTATTTATTTATTGTATGCTGTTCATAAAACAGCTTGGATACTAACAACTGTGAGCAAAATTCTAATTACAAGATAAATTTCTTGCCCTGTCTTCTCCCTACTGCTGCTCCTGTCTGGGATTCTGAAACCACATATTGTGACAGTATGAGAAATCACCAAAAGCAAAAATCACTATTTAGATTCCAAACTTTTTTTTGTGTGCTTTCTTTAGATAATCTGCTAAAGTATTTTAGAGTTGGTAAATAAAGAGAATTCGGGTAACTGACATAAAACAAACAGTGGCTTTTTAAACTGCTGCTACTTATCTGGTGTTCATAACTGTAAAAGGAATGCGATACCTGTAAAAATATCTAGCCATATTCAGCCACAAAACTTTACTATTTTTTTTTACCTACAAGATCTATCTCATATCTTTATATAAGCAAAAGGATTATAAATATAGCTTCCATTAATACATACCATTAGCTCACTTACATAACAGCTATATATGAGAGTGAGCGTGGTAGGGAGAGCTGGGAAGCACTGTTCATCCATAGCCTCTTTGCCTCGCAAATAAGCCCAGAAGATGGAAGGATAATATTCCTCCCTTATTTCTGCTTTTTCACAGTAGGGCTCTAGCTTATCAAGGACTAAAATATTTCTTAAAATAGCAAAATAATGATAAATCAGGAGCATAAATTATTGAAAATGGCAAGGATATAATTTTGTTTTTTTAAAAAATAATCAGGAGCTACAATTTTCTTATAGCTCCTGAATATATAAATGCAATGCAATAAATATGATCCAAGAATTTGTTCAAATGCTTACCAGTTACCTGGAAAAGCATATCCACACTTCCACTATTGTAATACTGGTTCCTATTAAATGAATAGAATGTACAAATAAGCAGGGTTAAATCTCATTGCTTCCTTCTGTACTGCCAGTTTTTGAAGGATGCTATAAATCTATGAACCAATCTAACAGAGTAGCACTAGAGTTATATATTATCTGATAGCCAGCACTGGATTTATATATTATCTGATAGCTATAAGTCAGATATTACCTATGTCCTTATGCATGTTTTAATTTTACATAACTAATTATTTAATTAAAATAGAAACCATAATCATGGAATGAGGTTTGTATTGGACTTGATCTAAACATTTTGCTACATGAAGAGGAAATGCTTCTGTGGCTTCTCAATGTCTTAAAAATGTATAAGATAGGGGAGAGTAGTTTTTCAGACTGCACAGAGCAATATAGAAAATGATAAATTAATGATAATTTTTTTTCACCAAACAAGGATATTACCTTCTGTTAAGAACCTCTTATAGGTTAATTGGAATCAATTAAATTAGATGATGCATAACTAAGTTTATGGTGTCATACTGAATTAACAAAAACGTTTCTTAAAATGCACAAACTGAAAACAGAAAAGCCGAGACAGCCTTAAAGTAGCAAATTTTAGGAACAACATAAATGATTTAGGACAAACTGAATACTTGTCCATATTTCAAAAAGAGGGATATATTGTCTTGTTTTTAGAAATAAGACCACTGTGAATAAAAACAAGAAAAATGTATTTGAATTTTTCTTCAAAATGTGCATTTTTACATGGCTGTTATTAAAACTGAACAAAGTGCAAAATTGATTCAGACATCATTTTTATTATAATCAGTCCTGTCTATTATTTTATGTAAGTATATAATATGCTTACTGTATGTTTGATTACTTAGACAAAACATACACAATGTACATAGGCCTGATATATGAAAGATGCTCAAGGCTGATTGTTAAATTTGAGTACAGCAGTATATAATGTATATAAAGTATGTATGAAAAATAGTGGACAATTCAACACTGAGCAGTTAATAATAGAAATGAAGTATCCTCTTGGGTTTTTAGTATAAACATGAAAAATGGCTGCACTGATCTTAGAGGTTGTTGGTTAAGGATGTGTTTTCATGCCAAAGACATGTTATTGACTGAGAATGATTTTCAGAGAATAACAGATTCATAATATAGTGAGAAGCATAGCATAGATCTAAAAATGAAAATAAAGATTATTTCATTTGGCATAGAGAATAAATAAAAATTGCAAAAATTAGAACAAATGTATACATTTGTGCATCTTTGCAGTATGTTTAAGAAACATGGGGAAACGGATGGAAACTTTTTTTTTAAAATAAGCTTTATTAATTTTTCAAATAAAATAAAACAACACAGAACAAATTAAAATGTTTTTATAATGACAAATTGTGATTTCTCATTTGTAACATTCTATTGTGCTATATATGTAACTACTATATCATGCATATATATGTTTACTAAATCTAGTGCTTATCTTTCTTTACAAATTACTATGCAATCTATCGTCACTCAATCCATTCATACCAATGTTCCCACACCATATAATATTCTGATAATTCTTTGTCTGTTAAAGCTAGGGTTACTTTATCCATTTCTGCACAGTTCATTATCTTTTGGATTACCATTTCCTCTGATGGGGTACAAGGCTGTTTCCAACACTGGGGATATGCCAATCTGGCCGTAGTCAGTATATGTATATTTTACATTTCTAGCATATTTTTCTTTAAACAATCCTAATAAGAACAATTCTGGTTTTAATTCAATTTGTTCCCTTGTAATTTCTTCCAACCATTTTTTATTTTCAGCCAATATAATCTCAGAAATATTGGCAGATGGAAACTTTTAATGTCAATTCTCATATAAAGATAGTAGGTAATCTCTGATCTGATGTAAGTTATGTTTATTGAAAAAAATTAAACTGAGTGGATAAATGGGGGCTTTTTTCCACATCCTTTATGGAAATGAGATTATATATGTATAGAGAAAAATAGAAGCTGAACTTGAATAAATGGAATACTAAGAATTTACACAGAGTGTCCTATGGTTTTATGTATCATAGTAAAAATCTAGTCCTTAACAGTTCTTAAAAATATTCCGATTTAAAATGGACACTAATCTCACAATCAATACAAAAACTATGAGTTGCGCAAAGACCCATGGAAAGATACATGCTTGGCATTACAAGACAAGATAGAAAGACCTACACATGTATTAGAGAACAAGCAAAAGTATACAATATCATCAAGGGAAAAATGGAATTGAAATGGAAATGGGCTGGTCACATAGCAAAAAGAACTGATGGCAGGTGGACCAAGGTGGTCATAGAATAGATTCCACTTGATAAAAAGTGTTCACAAAAGAGAACTAAAACAGTGGATCAACAACATCAGCAACTGGCAAAAGAAAGCTAAGGACAGTATTGGCTAGAAATGTGGAAGAGACCTTCATCCTGCAGTGGAAAGACAATGGCTAAAATGATTGTGACAACCTCAGAAGAACAATACATTACATATTAAACCATGTCATTTATTTTATAAAAAGAAAGCCAAAATGGAGAAACTATCTGAAAAACTATGCAATCCAACCAAACTAGGAAAATCAAAAAGAAATCCCGGACAAAGATACTGGTCAACCATCAAGGAAGCAATATGAATCTCTTCAAGTAGTCAATAGGAATTGACCTAAATATGATAGTGGTTTCTTTTTACAAATTCAAAAACAAGTGAAACTGCTGCCATGTCATAATGGCAACCAGCCATCCTTCACACAATGAATTAACCTATCAATTTAAACTGGGTTCAACTATTGCGATTTGCAAACCAAGTGTTAGGCATTTACAGTTCCTTCAGCATATGTATAACGTTTATGTGGATGGATGGATAGATAGCATATATAACTTAGAATAAAGCACAGACTTACAATTTAAAAGATCAAGATGACAAGACTAAATTCACCCTATAAGTCTAAATTTCAAAGGGAGTTCATGCTGTTATTATATTAGTGTTATGTTGCCAGAATTAATTTATCAAAATGAATTTCTTCTGTGGTGGCCTATGATCATTATAAAAATTTGATTTCATTTAAATTTCTTCCTTTTGGTTGCAAGATTTTTACATCGCAGGGAAAGGTCCTCCTTATCTCGTGTCATATTTATTCAAACTAGCCATTCATTCCAAACCAGTAACTTTATTCCTCAACTTCCCATCCGAAGACACAGTCCCAAACGTTGCTGTAAGGATTTGATGTAGATTAGTAAAACGCTTACTGGCGCAAAGTTTACCACCTAACGGCTGCCAAAAGGCTGAAGAGCAGACGAAGAGACAACGGGAATTAGAGCAGGTGGACACCTTCCCACGGTCCCATACTCCTTTCCAATTGAGGTACCAACCCCGTCCGTCCCTAGGACCTCAGGATGGGTGGACCCCGAAAGCCCGCGCCGCCGCCCCCTCCTCCGCTGGGATACTAAGCGGAGGGGTGGGGGAGGCTCGCCTTTCCTCTCCCCGCCCTTCGCTCGCATTGACAGCTCGCAGTCTGGGGCGTTAGCGGGAGAAGCCTCCGTCGCACCCGCTTTTTCCTCGGTTCCCGGTTCAGGGATGAACCCACTTCAGTGACTGGCGGACGGCCGAGCGGGAGGGGGGCAGAGGTCGGTGGCCGGGGGCGACCGTGGGGAGGAGGGGCAGCCTTTGCCGACCCCGAGGAAGACAGCGCTGAAGGGGAAGGCGGCGAAGCGCTGGAACCTGCCAGCCTCTTCTGCCGCTGCCGCCGGGGATGTGCGGCGAGGGCCCGGGCCCTCCTGGCAGACGGAAGAGCTGATTAACCGGGGAGGGGAAGATGGCGTCTCCGGCGGGGTCGGTGGCTTCCTCCCGCAGCTGCTCTCGGATAGGAGGCGGGAGGCGACACTGCCTGTGGCGGCGTGCTGGTCCTTTCCTTTACTGGGTGCCGGTCCTCTTCATCTGCAGCATCCTGGCCTGGTCTTACTATGCCTACGTCGCCCAGCTCTGTCTGCGTGAGTCCCTTTTTTACCCTCCCCTATTAATTCAATGTTGATGGATTCTGTATGGATCTGATGTTGGGAAGCAAACTGGTAATTTTAAAAGGATCTTGGTTTTAAGGCTTTAATTCATTAAGAAAGATCTCTTGAGAGTAACTATCTGTTGTACAGGAAATAATGTCTCCTGGGGTAAGTGTTAATCAAGGCAGAGCAGTAAAAACGCCTTGTGTGCGCTTGCTGGTATTGAAATAGCAATGTTTATCAGCAATATGTAAACAAACGCATGGAGTAGGCACACGTTCTCTGTGAAGCTATATATCTAAGAATGGAAAGCAAAATGAGAAACTTGATTTTTAATACTTGTACATTATCATCTTCTGGGTAAATAAGTTCAGTGAAGAAATGGATAAAAATATCACAATTTAGATTCTTTGCTCTGGTCCAAAACTTCTAAGCACTTTTATATTATAACCAAATTACCTGCTGGATGGTGTAATTAAAGGTATAAAATAAGGAATTGTATTTTTCAGAATCTAAGCTGACAATCTAAATTTCATGAAGGTTGGCTGCCATTAAAGTATGTTAAGAGAATAATGTCTTATTTGAATATGGTCTAACATTGTCAGGTATGTTAATTATTTGTTTTGCTTCTTTTCTGAAATGTTGATTATCAAAATACCTGAAGTGCCCACACCCTGTATTAAAGGTTGCTTTTATAACCAATATCCATTTTTTCTTACCTAAAAGAAAGATGAGTCTGCATTAAGGAGCTCCTTTGGGTGACAGAGAGAGAATATTAGAAGATACTTGTTTATTTCCATTATTGTCCTCTCAGTGAGCCTAAGACAATTTTATCATTTTAAAAATGAATTACACTGAGAAGCCTAATATGATAAGTATGCTGAAAATGAAATGAATAGTAGATGATATTACTGTTTCTCATGAAACCATAGCAACAGTCTCTTCAAAACCTCTTCACCATCTCAATCTGGAATAATGCTATTCATGTGATTTTGATTATATACATCCACTATTTCTTTCTTTTTTCTTTTTCACATCCTTCCCCTCAGTTTTCTTCTATTTTTCTAGAAATGTAAAAAAACAACAAGAAAATGGTGGATTGATTTTTGGTGCAATCTTTTTTAAAGTGAGGATGTAATCTAACTTTTATGTCACACTCCACTAATTCATAGTTTAATTATATGAATACTGTCCAATTTGGGTTTGGTTTTATCTCCATGGAGAATTTGGCAGCAATTCAAAATGAGAGTAGTTGATATTTTGTTTGTCCATATTGTCTGACATTCAGTGGTAAAGTATGTTAAAATATGGAGACTAAACATCACTGTTTTGCCTCAGAATAATTATAATTTCATTGTATGTGGAAATGAGCAAAAATATCAAGGAAATCTTTACAAATGAATGTTCCTAATTTTTGTCTTTGAATTGAATAGAGAGAAAGCAAAATTTCAGTACTATAACTGTCAGATCATTATCAGTTTCCAAATCAGCTACAATTTATTCATTCTTAGTAATTAGTGATTCTGTAAAATAATTAAATATAAACATTTCATTCTTTAACAATTCATATTTCATGGAATCATTGAATGTAAGGTTGGGAAAATGCTATAAAAGTAATGCAGTTAAATCTGCCGGAGTCCCTTAATACAGTTGCTGTGACAATGGTAATTCAACCTCTGTTTAAATATTTCAACAAAGGAGAATCCACCATTTCTCAGGAGGCAATCTGTTCTTCTGATGTTCGTACAATTAGCATATTTTTCTGATGTCAAACTGAAATTGGCTTTCTTCCAATTTAATCCCATTGTTTCTTAATGTATCATTTAATAAATGTACAGTGTATTGCTATCCATCAAAAGGAACTCTGAGCAATGAACACAATAAAATAATATACAACTTAAAGTAACAAAATTGAGACTTCTACTAAAAAAAAATACCTTACCAACATGTTTTACACACAGAGTTCCACTAAGATTCCAGGCAAACTCCTGTGAGAGAAGCCAAGGTTTTCATAGCCTTCAGAAAGGTCAACAAACTCTTCTCCTGCCTTGTAGAACAGCTCAGAATGAATCTGCCCCATCTTCTGGTTGATCTTAAGATACATGAAAATGGCTATCAGATCTGTCCCAGTTCATTCTTGAAAAATATATAGTGCCTTCAAACACTCCCAAGTTTTTCATTGTATTCTCCCTATCATCTTAGTTGCTGTCCTTTGGACAGACTTTAATTTGTAAAAGTCTTTCCTGAATGTATTACTCAGAACTTGTAATAGTCTGTGGGAACGTCCTTGGAAAACAGGAGGAAGAATAGACAACAGAATAGACAACTATCACAGAACAGATACCTCAGCTGAGGGAAGCAAAAGGGACATGGGAAGCATCTCTGAAAAGACCCTTTCTGGTTTTCTGGGAAGTAAAAGTAAAAGAGGGGAAGAATGCTTTCAGGCTTTCAAGATTCTGTTACTTTCAAGATTCTGTTACTTTCAAGATTCTGTTACCTTGCAATAAGTGTTAGAATTCATGGTTAGTGCTTTTTGTATGGACTACATGGATGGGCTGACAGAACTAAACATAATATTTAAGGCATGAACTGACCAACATAAAATGGAGAAGAATGATGACCTTTTGATATTGGTACTATAGGTAGTCCCCATTTAGCGACCGTAGTTGGGACCAGTAACTTGGTTGTTAAGCAAAATGTTTACTAAGTGAAAAATTATGTGACTGCAGCTCTGCTTACAGTACAATCTTACTTCAGCTTTCCTGTGAAGGTCATAAATGCAGATGTTGATCGCAAAGTTACTTTTTATCACTATCAAAACTGCAAATGGTTGTAGCTTAAGGCAGTTTTTAAGCTAGGACTGCCTGTATGCTTCTGTTGATGCAGACTAACACTACATTTGTTTTTAGCTTGGCTAAAAACCAACCTCATTAGAAGGTCGGTATATATGTATCCCAGAAACTGAGAATGCTTTTTTGGGGGGTCCAAATAATGACAAGTTATCTAACTGAACTTTTCTCTTGCAGTAACAATATCAAATATTGGAGAAAAAAGTAAGTAATGGCTATTTTTTTCTACTTTTATAGAGTGTAAGGCTGCTTTAGTGTATATATGTTCAGGCACTTCATTAAAATTTTATTTATTTCAGCAATAAATTATTGAAGATTGCATGCCTTTTCTAACTGAATCTTAGGCTGCATTTTTGTTTCTATGTCTCCCTATAGATTGATAATTAATTGGTCATCAGGTTTTCTAAGGAAAAGGGGGACAAAAGGTTGATCTATCTTCTCTGTGTGTATGACCACATACAACCAAACATTCTTTATAATTTAATAGAAGAAACCAAGGAAACTTTAGTTGATACTATCAGACTCCTTCCCATTCCTATGCTTCTACTGTATTTGCTGCATTAATACCAACATTGTAGTACTTGCATTATTCCTTGCCCTTGGAAATGGGGCAAAACTAATCAGGAGACTGTTAAGGAATATATAACGGTATCTATCTTGGGTATTGCTATGTATTTTGTCCTATCTCCTACTGACACTAAGATTGTTGCCAAACTAAGCACACTATTTTCTTGTTTTTCTTTGATTCTATCTTCTTTATTTCAGTAAATTATAGACTTCTTGACCAGACAGTTATCATCTTCTTTATTCCATCCATTAGATAAATTATATTATATAGTAAAACTACATTGATGACCATCAGCTTAGATGAGTTAAAATGCACTAGATGGATTAGTAGTTACTGATTACCTTATTTTTAACTAATCATGATGATTACCATATCTCTGAACATTAGCTACTATAGAAGAATTATTGATCTTAGTGGCAATAGGTTAGGACATAATTAAGTCTTTGATTTGATAGAACAGGGCCCTTGAGTTTCTGTTATTATTGTATAAACTGCATAACCATCTTGCTATAGACACATTAAGAAGAATTTCTTGCCCCCATTAGATCCATTCAAAGGAATATCGATAATGAAAACGTTAAATGACAGAACATACAGAATTTTCTTCCTTACACATTTTTCTACCTGAAGACATTCTAGTAGTGCTTTGTAGCTTCTTTAACAGCCATTATTTTATAGTTCTATAGATGTTGTGATAGCATTGTTCTTTATTGTGAACCATTGGGAACATTTGGCTCTTTTCTTTTTTCTTTTTTTGGTTGTCTGTATATCTCTAACAATTCCCGTCATTTGCTTAATGCCTTAATTTTATGATCTTGTTTTAGTGGTGTGCCTGATTGCGTATCATCTATTTTTCATGATGTTTTTGTGGTCTTACTGGAAAACAATCTTTACATTACCAATGAATCCTTCCAAAGAAGTAAGTTATAATTTTGTGCAAGAAAAATACTTACTAATTTTCTTTCTGGTGCACAAAGGTTCTGTGTATATACAGTAAATAATATCCTACATAAATATATTCTCTCTTGTTTTCCATCTGTTCATCTGAAGACACAGGCTATCAACGTGTGTACTTTATTGATAGTGTCAAAGCTTTTACCATTTATGTGAAAAACGTTAGTTTATATTGTGTGTTCTTTCATGTTCTTTTTTCCCTAATTTGCTATCATAGAAATAAGGATATCACATATAAAAGGGAAAATTAAACCAAATTAAAAATTTAAAAATGAAAACCTTAAATAGTTGTCTTTTTATTTATTTTTAAAGAATATGAATGTACTTTCTTCCTACCAATTTCACTTAACAATATGGAAGAGGTAATTTGTTAGGTTTCCCTTTAAAAACTCTCAACGCAGTCCAGGCTTTAATAAATCAGATCTCTAATTATGTATAAAGTTATAATTTCAAGTTCAAGCAAATGTGATTACAGGTAATCCTTGAGATACAACAGGCCATTTAACAAATGTTTGAAGTTACCGCACATACCCCAAAAGCTAAATATGAACCCATTTCAAAGTCATGAACCCTGCAATACCTCCATGGTCATTTTCCCTTGCAACCAGCTGCAGAGACTCTTCAGCACACCCACCCCATCCTGCCCGGCCAGGTCCTCAAAGGCAGTGGGCTTGCTTTATCAAAATACCAAGTTCCATACACTCCTCCCCACCCCCATTTCCCAGTCACCATTTACTCACTTTTCCAGAGCCTAGGAAGTCAGGATAGAGAAGGGTGCTCCCTTGCTCCGCCACCTGGCACAATCAAGAAGAAATCCTGTCACTTTTGCTTCCATTGCAATCATTTCCTCTCCAGCTAGCTTTACACTAGTCTTATGCTGCGAAGCTAAGAAGAAATGAGCAAGGGAGAAACCTTCTCTACTCCAAGCTCCTGAGCTCTGGATATCTTCAAAAGGTAAGTGTGCAATTGTGACGTGGTGGGATAAATGAGGTGGCCCATAAGGCACTAGGGAACCCAAGGGGCAGGAGGCAAAGCATGGGATATCTCAGAGGGTATCCCTATCTTCTGGATGTGCCTGTGTCTGCATTAGCGCCTCCCTCAGTTTCTCACACCAGTGAGTCATCCCATTCTCTACCTAATAACAACCTGTGCATTCATTCAGTGAATGCATTGGGAAAGCAGGGACAGGTAAGTTGTTAATCATGTGCTTCATTTAACAGAGTCTATGACTTCCAACAGAAATGGGCAATCTCCATTACTGTCATAAGTTGAGGACTGTACCTGTATAGATAGCCTTTCTGAATTGAAAAAGTAGCAGCCACATCAGCTTGTAAAGAATTGTCCGTTTAGTTTCAAATCTTCCAATATTTAGGTAAATGTCTAAATATGTTTACACTAAATGGTTAATAAATAATGATTTATTATTTCCTAGTTCCATCTGAGCTATTCAGATAAAGAATTGATGGAAAGAGAACCTAGAAATGAAATCCATCAAGAAGTGTTGAAGAGGGCAGCCAAAGACCTCCCTATAAGTACAAGAACAATGTCTGGAGGTAAATATTTGTCAATAATGATGTCCTGATTATTTAGCAGACATAAGTTGAGTATCCATATAAAATCTAAAAATTTCATTATGAAATACATTAAATAAAAAGGTGGTTGGTTTCTGCCCAGTGATTTGCTTAAAATGAATTCACTTGTCAGAAAAAGAGCAAGCCAGGGAACGTACTGTTTGGCTAGAGGGAAGGACAAAGAACATCTAACATTCTTCTTATCATTAGGCATTTAGTAGATTGTCAGGTGTACTATAGCAACTAGTTTTGTGAGGCTGCTCTCAAGATGCTCATCTAGAGCCATGGTGACGCAGTGGTTAGAATGCAGTACTGCAGGCTCCTTCTGTTGACTGCTGGCTACCTGCAATTTAGCAGTTTGAATCTCACCAGGCTCAAGGTTAACTCAGCCTTCCATCCTTCCAAGGTTGGTAAAATGAAGACCCAGATTGTTGGGGGCAATATGCTGACTCTGTAAACCACTTAGAGAGGGCTGTAAAGCATCATGAATTGGTACATAAGTCTAAGTGCTACTGCTATCCAGAGTGCTGTGTGATCTCCAGCTTTGGTTCTCTATTAAACAGCCATTCAAAATGATTCTCTGTCTATAAATTTTTGCTTAACAATCCATGAAATCACCCCAGTTGCTTCTCTAGCCTATGTCCAGCTAATGCCAGAGAGAGATAGAATCTATGCCTGCTGCTTCTTTGCACAGTGGATAGTCCCAATTTATTTACTTGAATCTTTTTGGAAAAAAATCAAAGCCAGTCATAATATGCCAAAACCAAGTGAAACAAAGTGAAATGAAATGGTCTCTCGGGAAAAATATATTCAAAATTTAGGATATGATGTTGGATTGTTTTGCTTTTGGCTCTCTTAACAGACTTTGTGATTATGTTCCTTTTTGGATCAATTGTATAACTATTTGAATAGGATGATTACTTTACAGCACTTCCAGTCCTATTGAATGTAGAGATTGTTTCTTAGGAGAACTCTGCATAATTTCAAATTCATGCAGCAGCAGCAGCAGCTATTGATTACAGTTTTATCAAATAATTGTTGGTAAAATTGAGTAGTTATGGTCAGAGGTGGTATTCAGCAGATTCTGACCAGTTCTGGAAAACTGGTAGCAGAAATTTTGAGGAGTTTGGAGAACCAGCAAATACCACCTCTGACTGGTCCCGCCCCCATCTATTCTCTGCCTCCCAAGTCCCAGCTGATCGGCTGGGTCTTCTTTTGTTGCCCTGCACAGAAGAACGGAGCTGGAAAGCAGGATAGTGGGGTGGGGTGGGAATGGGATTTCACAGTAACCTTCCCCCAGGAGTGGGGAGGGAATGGAGATTTGACAGTATTCTTCCCCTGACATGCCCACCAAGCCATGCCATGTCACGCCCACCAGGCCACGCCCACAGAACCAGTAGTAAAAATGTTTGAATCCCACCATTGGTTGTGGTGAAAAGACCTTATAGTCTCTTCAGTTGCTTTCCAAACAGCTGATTATTTGCCAGTATTTGTTAAGAGTTATTAAAACCCTCTTGGTACTGAGGTTACTAAAATCAGCAGATATTTTTCATTATTCAAGAATATGGTTAAAGTACATTTTAGCTAAAAAATAATTCTATGTACAAACATCTATGAATATGTCTTTTTGTACTCAGTGGGGCGAGTACAAATTAACAGGGTAGAATTGTAATGTATAACATCATTTCTTTTTCAAAAAGAAACATGGGATTGTTAGCAAAATGACTTTTTGTTACATACTTTTTACAATTGTCTGGAATATGCAGGAAGATATGCACAAGGCAGCAAGTAGGGTAAACATAAATCTTTTTGTGTCTTTACAGCAATCAGATATTGTGATAGATGCCAACTTATAAAACCAGATCGTTGCCATCACTGTTCTGCCTGTGATAAGTAAGAAACAAATATTAAAATATTTGCAAAGCTGCGAACTTATTTCCGTCTTGCTGGTTGAAAGTAATTTCAGAAATGTTTTATTTATTTATTTATTTAAGCACTTATGTAGCTTCCCATCTTATGTCAAACTCCAGTTGGCTCCTAATCAAAAATAAAAATAACATAGAAGCATATTAAAACTAAAGACATAAAAACAAAAACCTGAGCTCAAATCAAGCTTTCGAATATTCAGTCACTTCATTTTATGCGAGCTAGAGGCTAGACAGCTTCTGGCTGGCATAAATAAGGTGACGACAAAATAAGGTGATGACAAAAGAAGGAAGTTATCATATGAATGATATCTAAGTCAACTCAAGCACAAATTAGATTACTCATTTAGATGCTGGTCCTGTTATACCGACTTGTTCTATGTGTTAAGATAAAAGTTTTGATGCAATATGATTAACTTTTCTGTAAATTCTATAAAATAATCTACATTTTTTGTCTTTTTAAGATGTATTTTGAAAATGGATCATCACTGTCCCTGGTAAGTAAATTTTTTAATCATTATGAATATCAAGAACACCAGGAAACTAGCCGTCTTTATTAGCAAAAAAAAAAAAAAGATTTTACTGTTGCTACTTTAACAATAGCACTGGTAAGAATTGAAGAACTATAATGAGAAGCGATACTATTAAAACCAGTTTCTTTAAGAAACTCCAGGGAAGTTTCTTAACATACCAGTAATATACCAGTTCAAAAGCTGTGTAGTTTTTGTGGAAAATATTGAAAGAAATACCTTAATAAGCCCAGTTCATCTTTCTGTGTTTAATTTTTGTGACTTTTACATGTTTATATTTGTATTATTATTATATTGTTCATTGATATAACTCCTTTATTTAAAGAATTATTCTAATGTGAAAAACAGAAGTATGTTTACTTATAATAACAAATGGAGTATTGTAAATGATATTTTGTGTGTGTATCCATTTATACATATATTTTCAGCAATTTGTATTCTCTTTTCCTAGGGTGAACAACTGCGTTGGATTCTCAAATTATAAGTTTTTCCTTCTATTCTTGGCTTACTCTCTATTATACTGCCTTTTCATCTTTGCGACTGAGTTACAGCATTTTATTAGATTCTGGACAGTAAGTTTCAGTTCATTTTCTGGTTCTGGTGATTATATACACTATTGAAACTCTTGTGTCTATAAGCTTCAATTAGGTGACATTGGAAGATGTAGGGCAGGGTGTCAAACTCAAGACCTGGGGGCTAGATCTGACCCACAAGTTGCTTAGATCTGGCCTGCGGGACTGCCCTAGAAACAGCAAAGAACCAGTCTGTGGTGCCTCTGCCAGTGAAAATGGAGCTCGGGAGAGCCATGTGCGGTCCTCTTGAGCTCCATTTTCGCTGGCAGAGGTTGCAGGAGGCTGTCACTGCCAAAAGCAGAGCTCAAGAGCCTGTTTTTTCTGCCAGTGCTTGGGCCACTACAGGCGCCCCCGACAGGAGTGACGTCGAGCTGGCCATATCCACCCTGACCATACCTACCCTGCCCCCCTGGGGTCAAACACAACCCTGATGCAGCCCTCAATGAAATCGAGTTGGACACCCCTGATGTAAGGGAAACATTATTGAAATGGGCTAATGTCAGGACTCATGACTTCTGTGAGAATGAAACTTGGGAAAGCTGTAGATACTTCAGCATCACTGGACCTTCTGATTATACCGTGTTTCTCCAACAATACGGCCTCCCCCAACAGAAAGTCCCAGCATGTTTTATAGGCATAAAATCAAATTAAGCCCCTCCCCCCAAATTAAGACCTATATTAAATATGCGAAATGGGAGGGGAATGGTGGGGGGGCTTGCCATTAGGAAGTACTTTTGTTGCATACCCAGATATGGTGCTGCCTGTGTTGACTTTGGCTTTGGTGGGGCACTTTGTATCGGGAGACCTTCCGCCACCATTGCTTTCCCTTCTCCCTGTGCTGCCATGGCGTTTGCCACAGCCACACACAGCCAACCAGGGCTCCTCCCTGCAACCAGAGCCCAGCGGAAACACTTGGCTTCAGGCGCTCCTGTCACCTCTTTCCCTTCGCCTTCGAAGGCAAAGCCAATTCTTTAAAAACAACGCCCTATTACTGATACGACAAAGCCTCCCCTGCCCGAGAGGGCAGCACAACCGCACATGGGGAGGCGAATCTCCCAGGGCCATAGTGCATGATTGGCCCACCCCAGGAGAAGCGCCCAGCCACCATCCCTGCCTGGTGCCAGGCAGAGCGCGAAGAGCTTCGCCTGGGCCCAGCGCAGCTGACAGGCGGGCCCTCCTGCCTGGCAGTGGAGCTCTCTCCAAGGCAGTGAGCGCCTCCCTGCCGGGCCCTCTGCTCATCCTGCCAGGGCCATGCCAGAGCCGTGCGGGCTAGGCAGAGCCGGGAAAGCGAGCCGCAGGTGCGGCTGCCTGCCAAGCGAAAGAGCTGGGCCAACCTGAACTTGGCTTCCTTCCCAAGTCCCTCCAGCCTGAACCCGAAGGGGACACTGGGAGAGGCTTCCCGAGGCAATGATAGCGCCCACCCATCCGCGGACAGGGAGGTGAGGCAACGGCAGCGCTGCTTCCCTGGCCAGCGGGTCTGGAGGAGAGAGCCCGAAGCTGCCCGTCCTTTCCACCCCTCACCCAGCCCTTCCCCCATCCCCACACATCTCCAAATGCGCCGGCAGTTCCAAATGCTGCAGCAGCACGGGCATCGGGCAGAAGCACTTACTTGGCAGGGTTCAGCTCAGAGGAGGACATGGCGCAGGCCATCGCCTTGCCTCCCTGTTCACGGATGGGTGGGCGCTATCACTGCCTCGGGTGGCCTCTCCTGGTGGCCCCTACAGGTTTGGGCTGGAGGGACTTGGGAAGGAAGCCAAGCTCGGGTCGGCCCGCCTCTTTCACTTGGCATGCGGGCGCGCACCCATGGCTCACTTTCCTGGCTGTGCCCAGCACACGGCTCTGGCACGGCCCTGGGGGGATGAGTGGAGGGCTCAGCGGGGAGGAGCTTGCTGCCTTGGTGAGAGCTCCACCTCCAGGCAGGAGGGCCCGCTTATCAGCTGCACTGGGCACCCCAGGTGAAGCTCTTAATGCTCTGCCCGGCGCCAGGCAGGGATGGTGGCTGGGCACTTCTCCCGGGGTGGGATGATCCTGCGCTGTGGCCCTGGGAGATTTGCGTCCCCACATGGGGTTGGGCTGCCCTCTCAGGCAGAGGAGGCTTGGTCATACCAGTAGTAGGGTGTCATTTTTAAAAGAATTGGCTTTGCCTTCGAAGGCGAAGGGAAGGCGGTGACAGGAGCGCCTGAATCCGAGTGTTTCTGCCAGGCTCCGGTTGCAGGGAGGAGCCCTGGCTGGCCACTCGTGGTTGCACCAAATGCCACAGTGTTGCTCTAAACGCCGCAGCAGCACAGGGAGAAGGGAAAGCAATGGTGGCGGAAGGTCTCCCGGTACAAAGTGCCCCACCAATGCCGAGGTCAACATCAAGCCGTCGCCGCCCACCCGAGGATGCAAGGGGGGAGAATTAAGTCACCCCTGAAAAGACAGCCTAGCCATTTTTTCGGGGGTCAAAAAAAAATAAGGCCCGGCCTTATTTTGTGAGAAACACGGTACTTCCCAGAAACCCATAGTTGTGTGGTACAAGGGAATATAAGAGGCATCGGGATTTAATTATATATTGGTATTAGTCAATAATTGGAATATTCTAAATTGTTTAGACTTTGCTTAAAATCTATTTAGCTCTATAGTTTTTCAAACAATGTTCTGCTTAAAGCTAGTCTTTAAAATTGTGCCTTCCTGACAAGATATAATGAGAATCAGGAATATGTGAATTCCACCCACCCACCCACACCCACACACATATTCCATGTACAGTATTAAATGTTATGGATGCTAATTACAGTAGTATTTTGGATCATTAAATTAAGATAGATAGGTAGATATAGATAGATAGATAGATAGATAGATAGATAGATAGATAGATAGATAGATAGATAGATAGATAGATA